ACCTCAAGGATGTAAGACTCTTGATTCTCAACATGATCGGATGCTGGTTGCTTGACCTCGGATAGAAGAGATAAAATTTCGGTCATGTTGGGGGCAATTGTCGGAGCTTTAATGTCATTTTCACGTTCTGGTGGGCTGTTATCGGGGGCCCCCATAGCAGTAGACAATGCAACCAGGTTTTTATCAGGGGGGCAATAACAGCGGGAATTTGCTCCTCATTGCATTCTTCTTCATTATCTTCATCGCTTTGATCACTAGTCGGCTCAAAACTAATTTCATCCAGCACCTCGGACTTCATCTCGCTACTCAGCCCAAGGTCTTCAACATCACTTTGGCTCGGCTCGGCTTGAGATAATAGCCGACTCTTAGCTCGAGCATCCAATTCGCTCAATACTTCATCAATCTTTTTTCTACTAGCCATCAAATAACTTTGACACTCCTCAAATAACTTTATCAAAGATGGACTAACCTCTTGTTCAAGCTAAGGTTCTGAATGTGAGCCTCCATAGTGGAATTGAGAGTCATCGTGCTCATAAGTAGGCTCATAAGATCGAGAATATCGTGGATTTTCATAGAATAAATTTTCATAATTGCCCCAACCGTAATGGTTCCCATCAAAATTTGAATACGCCCAATCGTCTTGTCAATACCAACCTCTCTCGGTAGCTCTACGTGCACCAAAATTCTCGAATAAAAATGGACAATCATCGATGTCGTGTCGTGTGGTATGACATAGACGACATGGTCTGCTTAAAGCTTGACGAACACTCTCAATGGCTTCTTGGATCATAGCCGACATCCTAGCCTCACGATGTTGGTCTCTTATTTCCGTCTTTCTCATTTCATAATATGTATCATAACCATAAGCACAATCCGGGCTCCAATAAGCATCCATACCGAACGAATACCACCTACAAAAGAAAGATAAAACAAAAGGGGGATAAAAGAGTCAAAGAAAATAAAATAAAATAAAATAAAACTAATCTAATTACATATTTCAATTAACACTAAAAAAATCACAACTCAATTGCACCACTCCCCGGCAACGACGCCAAAATTTGACCGCGCGTCGCAACGCGACAAATTTAAATTTATAAAAGTTTTCCTCAACTAACCTCTACTAACTAGTAGTAGTAACGAGTAAGGGTCGATCCCACAAGGAGCAGGAATTAAGTTGTGAGATTCTTGTATTAATCAAATTGAAACTAAGAAAGCGTTAAAAATGGGAGATTGGTTTTGTAAAAATAACAAAAGAAAATAAAATAAAATAAGAGAAGTCAAGTTTTCGGTTCAATTATCACCCAATCAAAATCTACCGCTAATTAATTTCGACGCATTCTTTAAACTGCTAATGAATTACCGACCCTAGCTAACAACAAGCTCTATTAACTGAATTTTCCCTTATCAAATATTTAACCAAAATAAGCTCTTCAACTAAACCTAACTAGTGGACAACCTAGAATAAGCTCTCTAGAATTAATTCACTAGCAGCATTAATCTCTAGGAAAATAGATCAGTCTAAGCAATGGACGCAAAAGCTTGAACCATTTAACTTATGTTCACACTGCCCTAGAGATGCACGACTCCTAGTTTACTACTAACGAAACGAGACAATAACAATTACAGATTAAAGTTCCGAATCTAGCAATTAAACTATGAACATTCAACGTAGCTGACCAAACTAAATCAAATACCCATAATTCATAAACATTAAACATAGATAATATGAATCAACTCATTAACAAAATAAATACTTCGTCCAGATTAATTAACGATAAATAAAGATCCTTCAATTCATAGACAAATCGAAGTTTGGTTTCAAACATCCCCTTAACTGGATAAAAATCCTAACCTAACATACTAATAAAACACATAATAGATAAAAAGAGATAATATAATTATCCTCTCGTGTGCGGGTGCGGCTTCCCTCCGCGTGTGTAGCCTCTTTCAGAATCTGAGCGTGGTGTTCTATCTGTTTTCTTCTCTGCGGCTTTTTTTTTTTTTTTTTT